TGATCATCGATGTTCGTGTAGATAATGGCAAACCAGCATGGGAGCTAAAAAAGGAAAACTCCCCTCGTACCAACACCCCCCTGCTCTAGACCTTGGTGGAAAAGAACATGTTAAACCCCAAATGTGGATAACAAACCATAATTTCATATATACCTATTATGTCCAGGCAAATAAACAATATTATAGTTTAAATTAAAGGCCTGGTTTTTTCTGCATGCTGGGGCAATGGCTTTGTTTCCAAAAAGATGTTGAATCACAAACAAACCTCTTTGTTTAATATGTTGGACAAATCAAGCTTGGTTCTCACAACAAATTAACGTATGAAAGGAGTTAGGTTATCATGCAACACCTAAATCCAGTCAGCTATGCAGTTAAGAAGGCAAAAACCAGTTCCAGGTGTGTTTGGGTTAAAGTGCCCTTTTCCAGTCAGATTTATTATGTGAATACTATAACCAGTCAAAAGTGAGACAATTGTCACCCTCACCTGCTTAGTCTTCCAAGAAAAAGAGTTGAAGCTATAGAGTGTCTGTGTTCTTTATTATAGTGCTCCCAGCTAGAGTCCTGGCAACCATTAAATACATCTCCCTGATGGTGAATGACAGCGGGGAAAAAGCAAGCCCTCCTTTCCCACCCCACACACACCCATACTGCTTCTCTGTTAGTATTTACAATCAGAAATAATCCCAGATGTGAAAAATCCTCAGTGGAGACTCTCATGCTTAAGGTCTGAATTCATACACACTTACTCCCACATGAAAACAAACTATAGTATTCCAAACAATGCTATATGGAAGCCTTGGACTCTGAATGGCAGGGCAGGCCAAGGTGCCTGGGGTCTGGTGGTCTGATCTGGAATGAGTTTGAGCTGGTGACTCCTGAGGAAGTGGACAGAGCTGTCTGTGCTGTCAGCTCAGCCACCTGTTTCCTGGATCTGAGTCCTTCCTGGGTCGTGAAAGTAACCAGAGAGGTGGCCCGCAGTTGGATCCATACTGAAGTGTCAGCCTCTTTGATGAAAGATGTGGTGTCCCGAGCCTTGAAAGAGGTGGTAGTGTGCCCCCTTCTCAAGAGGCCATCTTTGGACCCAACAGTTTTTTGATAACTGTCGTTCAGTCTCCAACCTTTCCTTTTGGAGGAAGGTTGTTGAGAAGATGGTTAGTCTGCAGCTGATGAGAACCCTGGACGAAACAGATTATCTAGACCTATTTCAGTCAGGTTTCAGGCTGAAATTTAGTACTGAGACAGCTCCAGTTATGCTTCTAGGTGACCTGTGTTGGAGCCAGGATGGAGGTGATGCATCCATCATTGTGCTCCTTGATTATTCAGCATGTAGTAAACCACAGTATCCTTCTGAAGCTGGCTCCGTGAATTGGGGATTGGGGGCACCATTTTATGGTGGTTCTCTTCTTTCTCTGGGGCCAGTTCCAGTCAGTGTTGGTTGAGGGAGAAAGATCGCTCCTTAGGCCACTCCTATGTGGGGTGGCGCAGGGTTCTACTCTCTCTCCCCTCCTTTTCAACATCTACATGAAACTGCTGGGTGAGGTCATCCAACAATTTGTGGCTTGGTATCATCAGTACACTGTCATCAGTACAGTACCCAATGATATCCAATTATATCTTTTGACTCCAGGCCAGCCAAGAGAGGCTGTCAAGTTCTGTGACTGGACACTGTGTGGCTTTGGATGGGAAGGAACCACCTCTGACTCAATCCTACCAAGACCAAGTGGCTGTGGGTGTTTGGACCACCAGATCTGGAGATATTCCAACTTTGACCTTGGGTGGGGTGACACTTCTTCATTCAAGCGTAGTGTGCAATTTGGAGGTCTTCCTGGACTCACAGCTCCTGCTTGATAAGCAGGTGACAGCTGTGGCCAGGAAGGCCTTTGCACAGCTTCCTCTGGTGTGCAAGTTGTGCCCTTTCCTAGATTGGGAGGCCCATCAGACAGACAGTCACACCCTGATCATCTCATGGTTTGACTACTGCAATGTGCTCTACATGAGGCTGCCCTTGAAGACCGCCTGGAAGCTTCAACTGGTCCATAATGCAGCAGGGTGAGCAATGATGGACCTTCATGGCATAGGGCTTAATTACTTGAGGGACTGCCTGTCTCCCATAGTATATGCCCAGCCAAACCAATCTGGTAGGCTTGGGGTAGTCTGGTTTCCTTCAATTGAGCAATGCCATCTATTGGTACCCCAGAATCACGCCTTCTCTGTCACAGCTCCTGCCCTCTGGAATGAGGTTCCCCTGAGATCCGAACAGCCCCCATCCTGCTGGTGTTTCAAAGGGGCCTGAAAGCCTGGCTTTTCACCCAGGCCTTTGGAGAGGATGACTGAAGCCTCCTTTTAAATTGAGTTGTTTTCTTCTGTTTTCACCTGGTTTGTTATTGTGCCATCTCTACCTTTCTTTTGTTTTTTGTTTTTATTGTCCTGTTTTTCATGTTTAAATCATTTGTAAACCAATCAGAGTCACTGGGAGTTGGGTGGCATATACATTTTAATAATAATATTAGTAGTAGTAGTAGTAGTAGTAGTAGTAGTAGTAGTAATATACTGGCTGGTGCCTCTTG